AGCGGCAGCGGGGAGGGGGAGGGACGACAGAAGCTTAGTACATGCAGTATGGGGTTTGTTTGTTTGTTTTTGTTTGTTTATATTAGTAAAGAGAAGCACATCGACACTATACTATAATGGTCATTTATTGCTGGGGAAAAGTAAGACAGATGTAAGAGCTAACAGTGGCACCCTCTATCACCCCAAGGGGCAGGATGGGACGAGGATAAACCTATTAGTTTGTGGAGAATCAGATGGAAAGTATGGGACAGGAACAAAGGGGTGGGCACAATGGGACAGGAACGATCGGACCAGAAGAATGAGATTTGAGATAGGAAGGATTGGATGAGTAGGACCCCTCGACACCCTAACGATACCAGAGGAAGGAAACAGTAAAAGGAAGCAGAATGGGTAGGACCCCTCGACACCCTAATGATACCAGAGGAAGGAAACAGTAAAAGGAAGCAGAATGGGTAGGAAAGATTGAAAGAACGGCCGGGGAAGGATGGGGCCGGAAGATGGGGATGGGGAAGATGACAGGAAATGGTGAAACAGGAAGGGTGGGGTGAGAGAAACTGAGCTATGGTCTGATGGAAGAGAAATGTTCAAGAGTATCCCTACGTTTTCAGGTTTTAAAGATGGATCTTTGAAAAGGTATAGCTCCCCCCCCCCCAAGGAAAAAAATCCCTCCCCCCTTCCAGATTCCTAATCTTTATCCACACATCTACAATCATACATTCCGTTCGAGGAGTTCAAAAAGTATGTGCACGTGCAGACAGTAACGAGAGCTCACCCGTTCACAGACTCAGCAGGCTTCATCTCGTACAGACTTTTGGCAAACGCCTGAGGGAGAAAAAGACATCAGCAAATTTAGATCAACGTTTTCTGTCAAATGGCACAATCAATAATCTTGTAACATCTCATTTGTAAAAACTTTATGTTTGATTGAGTAAAGAGAAGCACATCGACACAGTGATAGTCATTTAGTGCTGGGAAAAAGTGAGACAGACAGACAGACAGA